TTTTTCTTTCCTTTTGAAAGCTACCTTTATAAAAACGAAATTCAGAGCATCCAGCAACATGCCTTCAACGGGCTGCGCTCTCTGGAACAGCTGTAAGTACAACCGCCCCTTGTTTGCTGCTGAATGGGATGTGCGGAGGAGCTGATTTATCGGTCCCTCTAACCCAAGGGCTGTGTTTCCAGTAGAGCAGCGTACCAGACGCTTAGCGAGGAGCAGGATGAGGCTTCTACTGTTTCATCATCCAGCTTTGCAAGACTCTGCTGGCTTTGTTTGCAAACAGCTGCTCCCCGTACTGGTTTTGGTTAGTTAATGCTGAGGTCTTTTCCTGCTGACATCCCATATATTTTCTCCTGACCCGAAACCTCTGGCCCTTGGCTTGAATTGTGGGTGCTGGTCGAGTTTCTCTCTTATCCAAACCTTTGCTGAAAATGGATGGATGGAGTGCAAGCAGCGGGCTGGGGCAGCGGGGTGTCTGTGGGAGCTACCAGGACGGTGGTGCTCACATGCCAAGGAGCAGCTGGAAGATGATGGATCCAAACAAACCCAGAAATGACTTTCCCTCCAAGCTGCGTGGCAGTCTGGGATGGAATGAGCCTCGCAAGTGTTCCTGGCAGCTGGAGCCTGTCTCAGTGACACTCTCGCAGTCCTCATTTGCTCCCCTTCTCTGCACGGCAAGTCTGTGCTGTTTATTCAAAGAAGTTTTGGGTTTGGATTCTTGGTGCTTTGTGTTCAAGGTGAGGTGGGAAGACTGAGGTCTGACTTTTCTGAAGTGTCTTGCTAAACTAAGATTGGATTTTTCGTGCCAGGGGTCGTGATATATTATGTGCATGTGTGTAAGTACATGCGTACGTGTGGAGAGGGTGTGAGCAGGGGTGTTTGAACTATAGGGATTATCTGCATCATCGGAGAACTGAGACCAAAGGTCGAACTGTTCGACTTCATGGATTGTGCCAAGTGACAGCATTTATAGGGCTGAAATGTAACTAAGGATTTTGCTGTAAAAGGGATAGGAGCCAGCTTGTTCTCCATGCTGGCAGCAGAAGCAGACAGAATATAACAGCAAATTTCAGGCAAACTTGATAATGGGTGTGCTACCAACCTTGTGCACAGTATGGTTCTCCATCAGCTAGCTCAGCAAGGATGAAAACATGGGAAGCAGATACCGGCTCAGCTGTGCTGAGAGAGGAGGTGATGCTGGCCACGGTGATATTTTAACAATGAGCGTTCCAGACTTGATGTCACGAGTAGAAGAAAAAAAACCCAACAAACCCACAAAACCAACAAACAACCCACTAGAAGTTCCATCTGTTTTCAATCCCAGGCAGGCATGTTTGCCAAAGAATTAGCTTTGCTCAAACCCTACCCCATTTTCCTGTACCCCACAAGCCAACTTTTCAAGAAAAACTATACCCCGACTGATGGACAGCATCAGATGCTTTCCTCAAGGTCCAAAGCAATGACAGCAGACATCTGAGACTTATTGAAGCACGTATGTTTCCCTCTCCCCACGGTTTTCCTCTGCTGCAGAATCGGAGTCACCGTCTCTTGGTTGGTGCTCTGATGGTGGACCGTTCATCGCGCATCCTTCCATTGCAAATCAAACAGCCGTGTGGCAGCTTCGGCGATTATTTCTCAACACAGTCAGCGACAACAGCAGAATGAGTATTTGTAGATCCGTGATTAATCGGTGTCCACTGTGAAATTCATGCCTGGGTAGACTAAGGGGGAAGAGTTTAGGCAACTTTGAAACCATACCAAAATCCATCTGAACGTCAGGAACGTGTCAGTTGTGCTGGTGGGTGTTGCAGCTGATGGGAACAGGGAGTTGGGGGTATCATGATGCTCTGCAGACCCAGTTTTTCCTTGCTGATGGGTGCAGAAGGTCTCCCAAGCCTCTGGTACAGCAGGTCACACTTGAGATTTTAGTGGAGCTAAAAATATTAACCTGCATTAGCAAGAACTGGGCTGTTCATGTTAGTGTGCCATTGGGATCCAACTGTTCCAACTGACTGAACCACCTCAGTCTTTGGAAGCTGTGCCTCCCCTCCGCAGAAACAGGATAGCCCCGTGGCAGCTGTTTCCAGAGGTTTTTGCTCCCACTGGGTGGATGCACATGCTGGGAGCTCCTGTTAGGATCACAGACAAATGCAGGCTGCAGGAGACCTTTGGGTGTCTCCAGTCCACCTTCAGCAACAAGCAAGACCAATGGCAAAGTTTGATCAGGTTATTCAGGGCGTTTTTCTACCAATTAATTCTCAGCAAACTCATCATCCCGCTCAGCAATGTTGCAGTTCCTGGGCTGGGAGGAGATGCCTTAGAGTAAGGCTGTTTCTTCCTCCCCGATGATCCCAGGATGTGTTGGGGAATGTTGAGGCGCTGGGGAAAGGCAGGGAAATTCCCCTCCGGTGCTCAGCCGGGAGCTGCTGGTGCTGCTCTCCATGGGCAGCAGTTTCATCCTGACCCTTAACAGTGCAACAGGCGATTCCCAGCGGTGGTGGTGGGCTTAGGCTTTAGGGAGGAACAGATCTGCCCTCTTCTTGTTAACAGAGAGAGTGAACAGTGGACAGAATAGGGACAAACCAGTGTCGGCTACTGTTTTTGCATGTGGAAAGTGGAGGCACTAAAGAGAACGTTGGCTTCTCCACATCTGCCCTGACCAGTGACCGGTGGGTGGGCATTGGTGGGTTGACCTGGAAAGATCTCCTCTCTTTTTAATTGCCATCTGTGAGTCTGCCCTTTTGATTTTCTGTGTGACAGCTACCTGCATTTCAACAACCTGGAAAGCCTGGAGCAGGAGACTTTCAGTGACCTGCCCAAACTTGAGAGGCTGTAAGTACGGATGGGACCTTTCTTGTGAATAAGGTGGGGAGGAGAAGGGGAAAAAGCCTTCTCTTTGTGTAGCAGTTTCAGCAGAATGAAGCAAAGTGTGATCTCCAAATGAGAGGGAAATGTAAAAAGAAGGAAATTTTACATTCTCGCCAAGTAGAAGGGTTCCTGAGAATATGGAGGGAATTTCCCATGTTGTGTTATGTTCACCTTTCCACCTCAGTAAGGGTAAATCTGCAGAAAGCCCTACAGTTGGCCAAGCTGTGTTAAAACACTGAAATTTTACTCCAGCCGTAAGGTCAACATTAGTCACTGTTGGGCAGCGTATGCAAAAAAGGGGGTGGGAAGGGAATAAAGTCCGAAGAAAGACTAACAAGAAAAACACACATCCTTCTTGAAAGCAGTTAGGAGATGAAGTCCTGTGTCTCCTGCTCCCCAGGACTGCTCCTAGTAGGAATGTAGCCACTGGGACAAGCTTTCACGTGGTGGTTCCCACTCCATGGTGAAACCAACAGACCCTCTGTGCTGCAGGGAAATGTGCCTGCACGCTAGGAAAACAAAATCATGGGATCCTAACACCCTTAGGAAAACGCAGACCTGGACCGGTACAGCATGGCTGATCTCAGTCTCTGTGTTTCATCCAACAAAAATTCTGGATTTAAATTTTAGAGGAAGGTTTGTCAGCATCCAGCTAGGCTGAACTCACGGGTTCACGGGTGTGTGCAGTCGTTTGCACACAAGCTGTACTGCTTTTGTATTTCTTTCCTCTTCCACCGTCTACTGAAATTGCTACCTGTCTTTTGTCAGTGGTCTTGTATGAGTTTTAGATGTAACCGACATAACGAAATTTCCCCCTCCATTATGGGAATGGAGAGTTAATTATCCCATCTTGGTCTCCACCGATGCATTTTAGTGCAATCAGGGTTTTTTTATTTTCTTGGTACTGGGTAGTCTTGGTCATGTGCTAAGACTCTGGAAGTGAGAATTTGCCTCGGCTTCGCTCAGAGGTAAGCCCAGCTTAGGCTGTTGTTGTCTGAATTAGATTTGCTTGTGGATTTGGGTTAATACCTTCACTGAGTCCAGGGCATGTGCTGTCTAGTGTCTTCTACTGGAGCCTAACGTCACTGGCTGCCCTTGTAAAATTGCCCCATCTTCTGCAGGGGGGAAAGAAAAGGTTCCGTCTGGACTGGAGCTGACCCAGACCCAGCAAACCTAGGGTGGGTCCAGTCTGTAGGGATTTTGGGCCCTTTCTCCTCCCTTTGCAGAGCATGGAGCAGATGAACTTCAAGGTTCCAGTTTAAACCTGTTACATCACATCTTGAGTCACCGTTTCCAGTCCCCACCCGCCCTCCGCTTTGGTGTATGGCATTGCACTCACGTATGAACGAAATCCCCATAGCTCATGGAAACACACACAGTAAATTTAAAACTAAGCTCCATTTTGGTGAGCAGCCTTTGTTTTTAAACCGAGTTTTGACCTGGGATGTTATCACCCGTGTAGTGCAAATACTGAATAATGTTTTGGCATGGGTTCTCCCGTTGCAGATTCTTGCACAACAACAAGATTTCCAGGATTCATCCAGGGACGTTCTCTCAACTGGAATCCCTCAAACGGCTGTAAGTGAAAAACATTGCCTGCAAAGAGGAATTGTTTGTCTTTGATCAGATAGGCAGGACCTGAGGAAAAATGTGCCTGGTTGGCAAAGCTTTTAGTTGTTGCACTTCTAAGGCCACTGCGAAGTTTATAAAACAGTTTGGGTTGGACACGAGACCTGACTTAACCAGTTAGTTGTTTCTTCATGGTAGTGTCCAATTATAATCCAACTATAATCTGCTTACAGCTCAATAATGCCACAGGAATGAACATTCCTGAAAGGTCTTCACGATGGTTTGAACCCATAAAACATCCTTCAAAACCATAGAAAGTCCAGGTCACAGATATGACCTCGAGCGTGCCTTCAGATCAGTCTCTGACATGGAAGGAAAAATCACAGTCACAGAAGGAAAAATCACAGTCACAGAAGAAAAGGCTTTTTTGCTAGAGATTGAAAATAGTCAGAGGGGTGCCAAGGTGCACAGTTCTCCTCCCACGCAGGAGTGCCCTGGTGTGTTATTCCCACCTAACCTGGCTGGCTCTTGAGCTTACTTCTTGCTTGCTTAAACCCCCCCAGAGCTTTGCTTTGTTTGTCTTTTATGATCTCTGGAAATAAGTTCTATGATGTCTTTTGGGGGAAAAAAAAAAAACAAAAACGAAAAGCAAAAGCTAAAGAATTTTGGTGTTCTGCCACTATTTGAAGCTGCAAGAAAATAATGTGTTTCTGACTGCAGCCCTCTGTGAGCTCTGCAAGCAGGTGGAATGTTTTGCTTTTCTTTAACAGGGAATAACTTGTGCAATATTGTCTGTATGTGTCAGAGAAGAAGGCGGAGTGGCTATAAAATGCTGTATCGTGGCCCTGAGTGAAATCTCACCTTCTCAAGTGTTTGTCCCTGGAAGCATTAAGACTTTTCTTCTGTATATTTTCCAATGGCCCAGACCCATCTACTGTAAAACTGTTAGGGGGGAGGAGGCATCAGCTAATCCCCCTGTAATCTGTATTTATCCTCATGCACACAGGAGTGAAGCCAGGGGAGGGAAAAGCGTGGGTGCGCTGGGAGGTCACCGGTGCTCCAGTCGGCATGGTTTGGGTGTATGTTGCGGTAATAAAAGTTCTTACAGTTGTGTAGAAATGCTGCAACCTCTAGCAGCTGGTCCCTGGAAGAGCTTGATGTGATGCACACTAAAATCAAGAGGTTTTTGGAGCTAAGAGTAAAAGAGAATAGAAAGATCCAGCAGAGGTTATCGGTTGTTCTTATAGACTTCAGTAAAGGCTGAAATTTCCATCCTGGGGGAAACCCCAATATTTCAGTGTCTCTTTGCCTCAAATTAAGCCAAAAATGCATAATCCAGTTGAACAGAATGATTTTCATTTGAAACTGGCTGATGGCTAATGTTAGTTTTTCAACGAAATCCTCCTGACTTGGTCAAGCATCCTATTTAAATGTCGTGGGAACGAAATATCTCAAATTTGCCTTTGGGATATAACCAAAAGCATGGAAGAGCAGGCAGGTGATCCTTCCCTCCGGAGGACTGTTCCCCTCCTGTGTCCCGGAGGAGGAGGCAGCAGTCAGAGGCTGGGAACCGAGCTGCCTTTTCCTGGCTCTTGCAGGCGGCTGGACTCCAACGCCTTGCTTTGCGACTGCGACTTGATGTGGCTGGCGGAGCTGCTGAAGAAATACGCGGAGCAGGGCAGCATCCAGACCGCCGCCACCTGCGAGGCTCCTCGCGAGCTGCACGGCCGCTCCATCGTCACCTTGACCGCCCAGGAGTTTAACTGCGGTGAGTGGGGTCAAACCCTTCCGCCGGCCACCCCCCAGCCCGTGGAGTTGGGATTTGGTTTGGGAATTGCTTCTTCCACCTCTTTGCCTCCCTCTTCCCCATCCTGGCATCCTGCTTTCTGCCTCCTTTTACAGCTGAAATGGGAAAGTCCCAATGGGGTCACACGGGTTATTGGGATAACGCAGAGAACGCTGACAGTCATGTGGGGGTTGAAGGCAGCTCTGTCTTGGCTGGTAGGTGTCTTTGTGGTTTTTAGATAGATCAGGGCCAGTAAAGGACCTGCTGTGGTCAGTGGTTAAACCAGGAACCAGGAGAAATGTCCTGCACTGAGCTGAGCAGAAGGGGAGAGCTGCAACAGCTGGAAACGCAACTGAAAACCAGACAAACTCTTGGTAGATGGATAGCTGAATGCTTGGTTTGACTGTGGCCGTGTATTGCATTTGTTAAGCTGGTATTCTCTAAATTTAGATAATTTCTTCCTGAAAAATGACATTTTGAAATAGAAGGTTATGTTCTGAAAAATTAAATATTTCACATAGAAAAAGACAAAACTCCAGTTTCTAAGTGCAGGCGTCACGAAGGATGGCACAAGCGTTGGCAGGGGTTCCCTGGTACTTCACTGCTGGTGGAATCAGTTTGAGATGTTCCCGCTCGCCCTGGCCAGCTGTTGGCATCCCTCCTGGATGTGCCAGCCCAGCTGTGTGCATGGCCGTGCTGTGAGCCAGAGGGGTGACATCAGCTGGATTTGGAAGAACTCTCCCTTAATTTCTGCCTTTCTTCCATGATCTTATCTTTAAAAAAAAAAAAAAAAATCTTGCCCATTTCACAGCTTAATTTGGGGTACAGCCATGCCAAAAGTTGAATTGGCTCAAATGAGTCCGTAACCTCGAGGGACAGGGAGGGGAAGGGTCAAGAGAAAGCAGCTGGGGACACGTGGAGTGGGACTGTGCCGCACAACGAGCTGTCCCCGACACGCACCCGGTGCCAGGGTACAGCCGTTAATGTCAGTTTGTTCTGGTTTAGGCATGGGCACGCAGTGGGACGTCTGACAAATTAGCCAGAGCACCTGGTGGGAAGATTTTGTTGGCATTAAGCTTTTACGCTGGTATTGTGCCAGCTGGGAAAGACAAATGATGCATAATTCAGCATAAGGCTCTAACGATGCAGGCAGCTGATATCCGAGTCGTACGAAGACTGCTGACATCAACTTAACCCACCGCGTTTTAGCAGATGGGAGCCAGCGGAGCAGATCTGCGCTGGATCAGCATTTTGTGCCGTGGGGCTGCGGTGTGGTTGGTCCCACATTGGCATTGTCGACAAGTGGCCAAGCCACTAACTTCTGGTCTAAGGAATAAGGGCACAGACTGGAGAAGGTGGCAGGTTCTCACTTAATTTTATGAATAATCCAGCTGGTTTTACTGGGTTACTGGTGAGCGTACAGATTGTTAGATGGGTGTGTATTCTGCTGAATCAAGGTCAAGTGCTCCAGACCACGTACATAATTCCTATTCTAGGAATTAGGAAGAATTTCCTCCTATTTTAGCACATCCCTTACATGTTTAACTTGCTTAGTGCTTGAGTATGTCTTAAAGTGAAGCTCACAGTGAAAGGCTTGGCTGAACAGGGACCGGCTGATGAATCGGGGACATAATGAATTAAATCCTGTTGCAGACAGCCAGCACCGTGTTCAGATGGAGCTGGCAGTTGCTGATAGCAGCAGGCTGCCAGGGACAGAAAAACAGCCCCAGTGAGGATGCCACTGACTTCTTCACTTATTTTGGGGGAGACAGGGACCAGCTCTTGGGGAACCAGTGCACAGCCAGGTCGGTTTTTCTCAGCCCTGCCTGCAGCTGTGCGGGGAGCTGAGCCGCTGCCCAACACACCGGCAATAGGAACAACCTCTTCAATTCCCCAGGGCTCTCAGCAGGCTTGGGTGGATGATGTTCCCTCCCCAGCATCATTTTTGCTGATGTTGCTGAGAAATCCTGGGGTGGCTCTGGGTGGACGCCGCTGTGCCTGGGGCTCTGCTGGTGCCCGCTGGCTGGGGGGCTGCGGGGGGGTTGCGTTACCCCCTACATCTGGCTGGGCTCTTGGTTTTGTGCAGCTCCAGACTGGGTTGTGTTAAAATGTGTTTTTTTTTGCAGAGAGGCCTCGCATAACCTCAGAACCCCACGATGTCGACGTCCTCTTGGGAAACACGGTTTATTTCACCTGCAGGGCAGAAGGCAATCCAAAGCCGGCGATTATTTGGCTGCACAACAAGTAAGTCGCACACAATGAGCCCTGGGGTAGCAAAGGTTTTCAAGCACCGAGCTCTTCAGTGGCTGCCTGTAATTACCAAAGCTGTTTCGTGCAACATTAAAAAAAAAAAAAAAAAAGGAATGGACATTCCATGGGTTGTATTTACCTTCCTTTTAATAGCATTCTGTGGTGGCCATGTAATCCAAGTGGTGTTTTCATCTGCATTTGAAATATTTCGTCTGCATTTGTAATGGATTCCAAGAGGTTGTAACTTTCCCATAAACATACTCTGCAGGCTGAAAACAATTGTCAGAAAAAAAAAAAAAAAATTAGTATTTCACGTTGCTCTAAGCCACCATGCTTGCCACTTATTAACTCCTGAAATGCTTCTAGTTTCTGGGTTTTTCTCTCTAAAGGCGTGCTGGGAGAATGGCTCGTTTTCCAAGGGAAAAATCCCTGTGCTTCACAGACAGACCTTGCAGAGCAGCGGATAGATTATCATTCTATATGATATATATATTTTTTTTCTAT